GTGGGGCAGTACCTGGGTTGGGGATGGTACCTGGGTTTGGGGATGACGGTGAGGCAGTCGCCCGTCTGCGCGTCCCACACGCGGATCTGCCCCACCAGGCAGCAGCTGACCAGGAGCATCCCATCGCTGGCCAGGCACTCGATGTCCTGCCAAGGAAGGAAAGACAGGCACGGCTGAGTGTGGCCCTGGAGCCCGACCACAGCCTTGTGTGGCTGAGGAATGCAGAGGTGACAGATTTTATGTCAGAACTGGCTGGTTTAGGAACCGAGGGACACCGAGAACATGGATATCCCTGGAAGTGTCCCAGGCCAGGCCGGACGAGGCAATAACGGGACCTGCAGAGCCCAGAGCGAGTCCCAGGAGGTGGGAAAGCACTGCAGGAGATTTCGTGCTCCCATATCCTTTGACAGGTACACTTCTCCCCAAATGTGACGTACCATGAGGTGGCCCCTGAGGACCAGGGGCACGATCTCGGTCTCGGGGGGCGAGTATCCGTAGTCGTCGCAGGGCAGGTCCCCCCTCTTCCTGCGGCCGTGCCCGTTCTGCCCGTAGTTCTTGGGGCAGAACACCCGGTACAGGCAGAAGAGCAGCAGCACCAGGATGATGCCCGAGGCCAGACCCAGAGCAGCCACCCTGGGGGGGACACACAGACACAACGACAAGGACAGGGGGAGAGAAAAGAGATGAGGGATCCAATTTCCGGGTTTGAAAAATCCTGTGCCAGGATTACACGTGCGCTGCTCTAAATGTCCCGGTGTGAGAAAGATTTTAAGCAAATTTGTTGGAAATTAAAGGGGTTTTTAATGGGAAAATGACAATTTCAACAAGATTTGAGGCTTTTCTGTAAGGAAAGTAGAGAGCAACTAAGTCCCCACTGGATGGGGACTGGGATAATCCAAAGTGTGCTCAGCACCTGCAGATTCAGGCAGGGAAGGAAGTTCCTTGCACCAGAGTTTGATCTGACACCCCATAAATCATTATCAAATGATATCCAGGTGGTTGCTGCCCCATCCCTGGAAGTGTTGAAGGCCAGGTTAGACAGGGCTTGGAGCAACCTGGGCTAGTGGAAGGTGTCCCTGCCCTGGGCAGGGGGTTGGAATGAGATGAGCTTTAAGGTCCCTTCCAAACCAAACCAAACCAAACCAGTCTGGGATTCTCTGAAATCATGGCATTTATACCCAAAATCAGTCTCCCATCCCTGCTCCCCAGTGATAAACAGGCTGGATGCAGAGCCCACTCCTGCCCTCAGCTGATGGGCCCCTGCCAGGGGAGATGAATTCAGCTGTGCCCCGAGTGTCCCAGCCCAGGCTCTGGCCCTGGAGCTCCACAGGTATGTGTTGGTGTCCCAGCCCAAAGCAGCCCCGGGGCTGAGGAGGGTCAGAAGGCTGTGACAAGGACATTTTACTTGTAAAGGGTGACATCCTGGTGGCCCTGGAGCTTGGCTGTGTGGTCGGGCTGAGCTCCGGTGTCCGGATCCCCTCTGCTGGAGGCCAGGAAGGGGTGGTAGCGCGAGGCCTCCTGGGGATGTCGCACCTCCAGGGCCTCCTGTGGGTTCAGGTACAGCGTGACAGGGATGGCTGGCAGGATGCTGATGTACCTGAAGGGGGGGAGAGGGGAGAACAGCTCAGGAACAGACACCAAGACACAGGAATCCCTCCAGGTGACCAGGCAGCCAGGGCAGGGTTCGGGTGCTTTCGGTCAGGAACTCCAGGTGTTCTAAACTAAAGATCTCCTTGGAAATATTCTTCTCCAAAGGTATTTCCCAGGTCTTAACCCTTCAAAGAGCCAACAGTGGGATGAACTCCTGATGAGATCAAACGGATCCCATGGATTTAAGCAAGGATACAACGATCTGGTGCAGTTTCCTGTGCACTGCAAACCAGATCTCCCCAAGAAGGTTCTTCAGCTCAGATGTCTCTTCCTCACATGTACCATCCCCACCACTTACAGGTGATCAGACTATGGAATCACAGGACCACTGAGGTTGGAAAAGCCTC